GGAGAGAGGGAGGGAGAGAGAGGGAGAGAAAGGGAGGGAGGGGGAACAATCAATGGGAGACAGGCTTCCAGCCTTGGCCAGGGCAGGGAGAAGAGGTTCAACAAGTTAAGTCTTCCTGAATGAGCAGATGCATGAGCTATGCCCTGCAGAGAGGGAGGAAGAGTCAACCAGCCCGGCTCAGCAGAAGAGGGAAGGAAATTCCAGAGGGCAAATGAGCAGGAGTCAGCCCATGGGAGTCGGGGGCTGCTCTCACTTTCAACTAGACATGTCCAGCTCATGTGGCCCAGGACTGCTATTATAGTAATGCGGTTCCACAAAATCTTTTAACATCATGTGTTTTTTTAGCATTCATTTTCTTCATGATCCCATATGTAGTTCTATATCTGCAGTTCACAATCTCATTTATGACATTACTTTTTGGCAGCATGTACATTTGTGAGCAGCTGTTTCCAGTTACAAAGCACACGAAGAGTAAAATTCAAACAAACATTTCTGGTGTGCAGCTTGAGAACTCACTAAGGTTGTGACCATTTCCATCGAACCAGACATTGATAGCTTAGTTTTACAAAAACCAGGTCAAATTTCCCACTAATATAATATTGTTCTCATTTTTCTAAACTTTATAATAAAAAATATAAAAAAAGAAGTTTTATCATGTATATACACTAACTATATATTATTTATGAGGCCCAAGGCAATTCCTCTTTACTTGATACAGCTCAGGGAAGCCAAACAGTTAGGCACCTCTGCTTCAATGAACAGAGACACAGCATTCTTGTAAAACCACACAATGCGGTATCCACAACCATGGCTATGGAAATTACAGACAAACATGGAAAACACATATGAAACATATGAAGCAACATTTTACAATTAAACTGTAAGTACAATGATGTAAAACATACATATGGAAAATGACAAAGGAAATATACCAAATAATCGTGTTTGTGGGGTGGAAGGATAGGCCTTTTTTCCTTTTCTCTCATTTCAGGTTCTCTTTTGGCATCACTTGATTCATTCTACAGTTTAAAAATTACACATATGCATGCACACACATATTTCAAAGAAAGTCAGTATGAAAAAGCGCAGTACCTTTGTTGTGTTCTGTGAGGTTTCTGTAGTTGAGGGGCAGTTGTCCAAATCTCCTGAGAGGGCATCAATGGGGTCCTGTTCATCTGCAGGTTTCTAAGACATGAACAAAAACAACCATCAAGAAAGAAGCACAAGACAAAATGAGAAGTGAGCATTTTCCCACATTACTTACAAACAAATATTTAAGAAAAAAAATGCTGAATTTTTTTTTTTTTTTGGAGTTGGAGTCTCACTCTGTCGCCCAGACTGGAGTGCAGTGGCCGCTCCCGGCCACCGCAGCCTCGACCTGCTGGGCTCCGATGATCCTTCTGCCTCAGCCTTCCGAGTAGCTGGAATTACAGGCATGTGCTACCACGCCTGGATGATTTTTTGATTTATTGTAGAGATGAGGTCTCGCTGCCCAGGCGGGTCTCGAACCCATGGGCTCAGGCAATCCACTCACCTCAGCCTCCCAAAGGCGCAGGATTACAGGCTGATTTTTTTAAAACCTAAAAATAATGTATTATAAAGGAGAGAGTAAAACATGAAAATCTTGATGACTATTTTATTCTACTCTTTGTTAGTATTGTCTGAGCCTCAGTCTTCTCACCTGAAAAATGGTACTGATTACCATGAAGAGTTGTTGTAAGGACTCAATGAGAAATCAAGAACAGAGACATACTTATATCACACTTTTATGCATGCCTTGGCACAATACCAAGCACAGGGGAGGCATTCAATATGTTTTAGTTTTTTAAAATGCAAAATAATGCTACAGCTAGAATAAAAACTTTGGTAAGTGGAAACATGCTACTATGGTATTTACCTTGGATTCCTTTGACTTCTTTGTAGGTGGCTTCACTGGTTTGTCCTTAAAAACAAGGCCAATTATTAGTTAAGCACAGATCTTTGTAAAGACGTACTTAGTATTTATAGAATGTTATCCAACGACTTGACTTGGAAAAAATGGAGTGTAGATTTGCAATACCTAATAGACCTGGGTCCCTACCATTTCTTCCCAGCTTTGCTTAATTACTACCCTTTCTAACCATTTCAATAGACTTTGGGGGGATATAAGAAAGAATCTGATCCTAGAAGTAAAAGAAACACTATTTAGAAACTTTCTGCCATTGTGTGTTATCATTTATACTTCTACTTAAAATGTTACACAAAGTTACTTGTGGTTTTATGCCCTATTTTCTGTAGCTCATCACACTTGGAAACTCATCAGGGATTTTCCTATCGTCAAAGGCAGGAATCTTGAATAATACATTTCCCAAAGAATACCAGCAGAGTGAGGTGATACTATTAAAGTGGGCAGGTGTCCAGCAGGAAGCAAAGTCATTATCTGGAGGAATACTGAACAGAAGGGAGGAGAATCGGATCCTGTAACAGGAGACCCTGACGCTGACAGCATTATTTAAACCAGGGAGTCATCTTATCCACCAAACGAATTGGTACAGAAAGAGAAGCATGTGATTTGGTTTTTTCTTGTTTTTATTTGATGAGCAGGCCTGGAAAGGATTATTTGTCATCTGGTTGGCTCCAAAGTAGGCACGAAATAGGAAAGGGGTGGGAGTCAGGGTGGGTCGACTTAGGAAAAATTGGCTTCCATGTAAGAGACAAAAGGTCAGGGACTTTTGGACAGAGAACAGGACTTGTGCTTGGGAATATCATTTTGCCTGTCTTCACTTTCAACAGTGCTGGTGGTGATTTGGAAGAAGAAAGGAAGATGCCAAGTGCCAGGTTTTAGAGTTGCCTTATTTATTTGCCCTATTAGTTATTCCAACACCAGCTTCTCCTCTGCTCTGCTTAAACAGAGCCTGCTTCTTTTGAAATCCCATCACCTTGTTCATTTTTATAGCCTTTTGTTGAAAAAAGAATCACAACTCTGGGATCATGCTTAAGTATTAGTGAGTGACTGAAGATTATTCAACCCTGTTTATACGGCAGAGTTCAGCATAGCAATATCAGATGATACTGGCTCAAATAAATACTTATAGGCTTGACAGCTTTGGGGGCACATTAAAAACATCCAGTCATGATACACTTTTATGCTATTATAAAAGAGTACAGCTTCTATTTATTTCAAGGGAGGTTCAAATTTAAATAGCTTTGTTGCATAAATCTGGTATAGGCATTTCCCTCAGTTTACCTGTCCATCACCATCCAGGAGGTGTCTGTATTCAGGTGGGATAGTGTCATCTCTCTCCCCAAGCTTGTCTCTGTGTTCAGCTTTAGCTTTTTCCTATAGACACCAAGCAGACATAATTAAGATTCATTTCCTCCTTCACTTAGAAAATACATTCTGAAGTGCAGCATTCAGCATTTGTTGTACTTTTATGAGGCAAAACATATGGTCTGTTTTTATTTTTTAAGCAACAGAACAACAACACTGATGACTTCAATAGACTATCAGTTGGTGAAAAATGTAAACCCATATGCTTCTATATGTCAATCCTTCTCTGAATTTTCTGTCTTTTAAATTGAGATGAATGATTAAAAATTATCCTCAGAAACCAAGATATAACCCAAGAGTATATAAGATAACTCTTTTTTTCTGTATGAGTTTTACTTTACAAATAATCAGGTCACTATACCTTAACCTTTAGAGAGGTAACATTTACAACTTTGTCTATTTGTAAGCAACTTCAAAGGACCATGATAATTGTTGACTTGAACGGACTGGACATATTGACGGTGTCACAGGTAAGGAAGCATCTGTTGTTGAGGAAGCCCCGGCCACCACCCAGCATCCCTTCCATGAGGCTCAGCTGGGTTTTTTGCCATGGATTCAGTGACCCTCTCCTCCAGTGAAGGACAGATTTATTTTTCTACACCAGAATTTTGTTTTAAAAACATAGGTTACGTTCACAGCAATATTTCAGGTAATAGTAGAATTAAGATCAAAGGATTAAAATATCACTCATTAATGGATTTCGTTTGTTTGTTTATTTACCTTTACTTTATCCTCCATTGGTTTATTCTCATCTGGGTCAGGCTGCCTTTGTCCTAAACTATCAGAGAGTTTATCCAAGGCATCATCAAGTTCTTTGTTACTCTGCTAAAAAGAAAATAATTCTGAATCAGTCACTGGTTAGCCCAACTGTATCGAGGCAAACCAGCCCAGAAACCCATCTTTTTAGGGAGGGATCTGTTTTCTTGGAAGAGAAAGACATCTGGAGGTGATTCAGAGTAGACAGGATCAGAGAAGACAAGACTAGGGCTGGAGACTGGGGAAGAGCAGAAGCATCTGTGAACCTAACAGGGTTGAAGGTCCAGCACCTCCCCCCACTCTACCCATCTCCTGGCCAAGATCCCACCAGCTTAAGGAGGCCTTGGTCAGAGGTCACATCCCAGCAGGTGACCTAGAGGTCACCTAGAGGGTCCAAAAGCAAATGAACCTGTCACTTGCCTTCAAAATGAATATGAAAACAATGTCCACTGATGTTACATTATCAGATGGTTAACAAGCAGGAATTTTCAATAGAGAGTGTTTCTTTAGTTTGATGGGTACACTCTAAGACCAGATCCTCAAGGTTCCATCTCACAAAGTACAGCATGACCAAATGTGAGTTGGAGGAAGCCATGGGGCCTGGCTCTGACATCCCAATACTTCCCAGAGCACAAAACCCCAGAGACAATCTGGTATCATGAGAGTGGAAGGGACTTCTCGGCCACACTGGCAACAAGGAACTTCAAAAAACTTGAGAATTTCTAAACTGGTGTGGAATCTCTTCCTTCGCCTTCAGGAAGTTCAAGGAAGTTAAACTGCAGAAATGAATAGGAGCTGGTGTTCTAGTGGTAAAAAAAAATTGGCCACTAGAACAACATTAGGGTAACTAAAATAGCTTATTTCCTCTAACATTTATTTACTATATGATTCAGGTAAGTTATTTAAGCCTCTGACCCTCATTTCCTTTGCTCTGAATTGTGAATAACAATAATACCCATACTCCTAAGTCTCTGAGAGGACTAAATAATTGAAAAGGCATTTAAAACAGTACTTTATGTCAGCACTCAGTAAATTACACATTACTGCTACTATTATAGTGAAATCCTAAGAAGTTTCTTTAAAAATATTTTTCAACACAGTGCATTCAAAATGCTGTCTTCTAGCTCTATATGAATTCAATTCAAAATGTGTTTGATATCTGCATTGTCCAAGAATCATGCTGGGCTCTGTCCTAAATTGTTTAGAAATTTCCAGTTGATTGTCAAAGTGTTTTTATATACATTATCCAGTTTCATTTGACTCCCACAATGGTCTGGGATTTGTTTGGAGACAGAAAACAAGTTCAGGGAAGCTAAGTCAGTTGATGCTTGAAAACAAATTGTTAAAAAATGAATGGAACCCAGGTCTTGAGATTGACAACATACAAAGCTTTTCCCTGTCACATTCAGGCATATCCATGATCTTCCATTTTCTTCTAAAGTAGCTTCTCCTGATGGGGTGATTTTATTATATCGCTCTTTGAAAATATGTTTTAAGATGCTGTCAGGCCAGGCACAGTGGCTCATGCATACAATCCCAGTACTTTGGGAGGCCAAGGCCAGAGAACTGCTTGAGCCCAGGAATTCAAGACCAGTCTGGGCAACATAGAGACCTTGTTTATTCAAAAGAAAAAAAAAATTAGCTAGGTGTGGTAGCACATGCCTGCAGTCCCAGCTACTTGGGAGGCTGAGCTGGAAGGATCACCTGAGCCCAGGAGGCAGAGGCTGCATTGAGCCATGTTCGTGTCACTGCACTCCAGCCTGGTGACAGAGAGCCCAACTCAAAAACAAAAAAATTCTCATGAATTTTGATGGCTGACTTTTTGATTCCCAGGTGCCTTTATCTGAATAAAACTCTATACATAGTTTTAGTGATATCTTCAAATAAAATATTAACTAAAACAAGACTCTGATGGGAAATGTGTTGAGAGAAGTGTCATTTTAAAATCTACTTGTTACAGGCAAAAAGGCTTTTGATTGCTAATGCTTACCAATAACCACAATTAGGCAAAACCCCTGGCCTGACTATGAAGAACTGAAGTAGAAACAGCAGCCTGGGTTATTTATGATGCTTCCTTTCTGCTGCATGGGGACTTTGGTCACTGTAGGTATGTTTACACACACACACAGCATTTTACTGGTTTTAAGTGCTTTATGAGAGTCCAGGATTATAGCTGCTAATGGTGTTGCTACTCACAGCCCGGTCTGGGCTTTGTCATCTGTGCCTCTGGATATTTTCAGACGATCCTGAGGCTGACCCAACAGGATGAAAATCCATCAGAATCCCAGACTACAGCATGAAGCAAGCTTTGATGCTACATCAAAAGGAATAGAAGCATAGCTGACTTCACTCGGGCTACAAAACGAGGCACTGCTCTTAACCACAGGAGGTGGGATCTGGCTTAGGGCGATTCCTTTATCTTTGATGTGTTGTGGTCTCCTCGATAATGTATAATTTGGTACCACACAGGTAATTAATCAAGGGAGTCTGGAAAAGCATTGGTCGTGCAGACTTGCCTCAGAACATGTAAATTATTAAAATACTGATGCTGAGGTTTTTCTATTGCCAGTATGAAAATGACACATTTTTACTGAGGTGAATGGGAGGAAAACAATGCTATTCCATGAAACGTCTGTAAAGTTTTTGTTTGGAGACACTCAAACACAATAATTCCATAAAATAAACTTCAGGTTAAATAATGGGTAGTAAAATACAGCAAGTATCAGGAAAAATATAAAGGCGAAAATCAATCATTCAAAATGCTAAAGAATTTTTTAAATCCAGCAATTTGAATATAGAAACAATGCACATGATTGTACTTTCAATTTTAACAGAGCAACAATCTACAACAAATACTTTCAGATATATTGTTTCATTTAATCATTTCAGAGTTATTCTCTGTCATCTCCCCAAATCATCAGTTTCAGCTGTTTTGAAACAGAAGGTACCTGATCTTCCTAATAATTTGCTCAGAACAGATGCCTTATTTTCTTTCTTGTTGCTGCAAAAACAAATGTTTATCTCCCAAATAAGATTTGTTGCTTACCGGAGTGTCAGGGGGTGGGGCTCCAGCGTGGGTAGTTGAAGCTGGGGTTTGCGAAACTACTTCAGAGATGGCAGCAGAAAGTTTAGCCTCTTCAAATTTCTTTTATCAAAAAAAAAATTTTTATCAGTAACATGTTGTATATAGAATCATGCCCACGGTGTCATCACTTAAATACAACTCTTAAGATAGTTTTCTGGGTGCTTATTCTCTTGATCCAAACAGACTCACAGTAACTTAAGATCGTAAAAGCAATTTTTAAAACCAATTTTAAGGCCAGGCTCAGTGGCTCAGCCTGTAATCCCAGCACTTTGAAGGCTGCGGGTTCGAGACCAGCATGGACAACTTGGTGAGATCTCGTTTCTACAATAAAATAAAAAATTAGGTGTGGTAGCATGTTCCTATATTTCCGGCTGCTTGGAAAGCTGAAGCAGAAGGATCGCTGGAACACAGCAGGTCGATGCTGGGGTGGCCATGAGTGTGTAACTGTACTCCAGCCTGGGCAATAGAATGAGACTCCAATTCAGAAAAAAAAAAAAAAAAAAAACACAACCAAACAAAAAAGAATGAATTTTAGGTTCAAGGGGTAGAAGTGCATATTGGTTATATGGGCATATTGTATACTGGTGGGGATTGGATTTGGGCAGCCCCATTCCCCAGAAATTGAACACTGTACTTGATGTTAAAAGCAATTTTTATTCTACTTCCTTCTCTTATTTTTTTGAATCAGGGTCTCACTCTGTCACCTAGGCTAGAGTGCTGTGGCATAATTGCAGCTCGTTGCAGCCTGAGTGAATGCCTATGATAATAGCAAATAATTACTTAAATAATTTATTATATTTTATGTTAGTAATTTTTACACTTACAGATTATTTTATTAATTTAAGAGGTGGGGTTCTTCCTATGTCGCCCAGGCTTATCTCAAACTCCTGGCTGCAAGCAGTCCTCCTACCTCAACCTCCAGAGTACCTGGGATTAAAGGCATTAGCCACCACACCCAGCTCTACAGATTTAACTAACTTCAGTTAATATTGTTGCATTCATCAAGTTTTAAGATTAGCACCATAATTACCTAGAGAAGCAACTATGTAGGAAACCATCTTGTTCACAACATACTTATGCCACATGAGAACTGAGTATTAAGCATGTAGTCCTTTGTACTCAAGATGTCCCTCCGAGGGGACATTACAAATCTAGCAAACCACTCAGATATCCTTTCTCAGGGGACATAAAGAGATTGCTGGTGATTATACAGGACAAACTTATACCAGCATAAATTTTTCAAAAAAAATGTATGTTTCCTTGAAGTTTTCCATTCAAACTGCATGAAAAAGCAAATATAGAGATAGAACATACACTGAGATATACATTCAAAAATAAAGCTGGTCAGGCTTGGTAGCTCAGCCTGTAATCCCAGCACTTTGGGAGACAGAGGTGAGTAGATTGCCTGTACCCGTGGGTTCAAGACCAGCCCGGGCAACTTGGCAAGACCTCATCTTTACAATAAACAATGCCCCACGCTGCTATTTCCATTCCCTGCTACTTTGTTTTCGGTGGCTACTTTATTATGGCCTTTAGAAATTTAAATGTAAAATTTGACTTTTGACTTATCAAGTCTCTCTTTTTCTCTATTATTAATGAAGGTGTTTATGACAAATGTATCTCACAAATACTGCTCTGGCTACTTCTCAAAGATATTTATTTGTAATATCTTATCTCTGATTTTTAGAATAGTCTATTTGGAATTTGATTTCAGTATTATTAGGGGAATTTTTTAAGTGTTTCTTTTAAAAACATTTCTGTAGTGACAGAATCTTGTTATGTTGCCCAGGCTGATCTCAAACTCCTGGCCTCAAGCAATCCTCCCACCTTGGTCCCACACAAAGTATTGGGATTACAGGTGTAAGCTACCATGTCCTGCCTAAAGGTTTCTTTTTAATAGAATTTCTGTTCTATTTTATTATGATCAAAGAGCATATGTACAGCAGTTACTCTTTTATATTTGAACATTATGAGTCAGTGTATGATACTTTCTCCCCAAAGTACTTGGTACTTTCCCACAAATAATTTTCCAAGTTTGACTATTTGATCCTTATGATAATTGGTTACTTCTACTTTATTCACTACATTGACACTAACAATCTGTTTCCTTTGCTTGATTGTTAATTGTCTAAGAGCTAGTTTTTTTTTTTTTTAATGGTTGTTTTATCCAAAAATTGCACCACTATACACCTTTGGGCAGGGCAGGGAAGGCATATAAATTTATCATTCTTTTTCCAAATCTTTAAATTTCCTTAAACCCCCCCCCCCCTTTATTATTGAAATAATAATAATGACAGTCAGGATGTGGAAGAAAATAAAGTCCTGTTCATCACAAAATTGTTCCCATGTTCTGTACCACAATCATGATATGATTCCATGCTCCTAGGATACTATCACTTTGTTTTCTCTATATTTCACAGGTTCTAGATCAGGGCTGGAGTGCTTCTCCATGATATGGTCTATTTGTATGGAGCAGGAGAGAAGGCCTGGGATGGGGTGACTGAATAGCCTGGTGTTCTTACAGGGGTGGGGAGTATGTTCTGGCTAGTATGCCCTTCTTTGAAGGGTTTATTCCTTCAGGAAATTCCAAGGATTCATTATTTCTTCCAGTTGTCACTCATTCTGTCTATCTCCTAACTGAGATAAATGTTTTCCATGTCGTTGTCCACATAGGAACCTGTTAATCTGTTTTCCAACTGACTGCCAACAATGTATCCAGTGGTTTAATAACTGGGTTCTCTGTAAATAGATAACTCAGACCCCATCAGAAAAGGTTCTGTAGTTATTTAAGTTTAAGAACTCTAACAGATTTACAGTATATATTTGTGACATAGTTTGAATGTCTGTCCCCTCCAAATCTCATGTGAGAGGTGGAGCCTAGTGGAAGGTGTTTAGGTCATGTGGACAGATCCCTTAAACAGTGAGTTCTCACTCTATTAGTTCATGCAAAAGTTGGTTGTTTAAGAGAGGTTGGCACCTACCTCCTCCTCCCTCTTGCTTCCTTTCTCGCCATGTGACATGCCAGCTCTGCCTTCTGCCATGACGGCAAGCTTCTTGAGACCTCATCAGAAGCCCAGAAGATGCTAGTGCCATGTAGAACCATGAGCCAAATAAATTTTTTTTTTTTTTTTTTACTCTGTCACCCAATCTGGAGTGCATTGGCATGTTCACCACCACCACAGCCTCAATCTTTTGGGCTCAGGTGATCATTTCACCTCACCCTTCCAAGTAGCTGGAACTACAGACACACCACCACAGCCGGCTAACCTTTTTTTTTTTTTTTAATAAATTATGCAGCCCCAGGTATTCCCTTATAGCAATGCAAAACAAATGAATACAATTTGCATATAAAAAGTCATGAAAATCCTAGAGAAACCTGTTTAACATTACCCAACATTGTCCAAACTCTTCTAGTAACAGAATCTCTTTGAGGGATTATCTATTCCACAAGGAGCTAAGTTTCCTTAAGGAGGCAACTTGGGAAATGAAAAATTGTAGAAACAACAGGTAAAGGTTGTCTGAGAAGTAATTTTGGATAAACTCAAATATAATCCTTTTTTACTAGGGATATAGTACATGCCAATTGGTTCAATTAAACTGCCAAAAACATCCACTGTGTTGGGATAATATTTCATGGTGCAACACATTTCTGATGGCTACAGTGGGTCGAGAGCCACTACTTTTTATAATTGTTTCCTCAGTTCCCAAGTCAGATTTCAAGTCACAAGTTTCCATTTATCTCTGCCACCATAAAGTAAGAAATAAAACCAAGAGTTTCAGACTTACAAGAGATGAAGTGTTTGGGGCACCAGAGAAGTCCTCAGACAAAGCATCGAGAAGGAAGTCTTCATTCATGGGCTGTAAGAACCAGGAAATGTATCAATAGACAACACTGTCATTGTCTCTCTTCAACAGAATGTCACTATTTACATGGTGATCAACTAAGAGGAAAACCAAGTCCTTCCTGAATTAACAATCAGGTTCAATGGGAAAGAGATTTACTCAGAGAAATTGGTTTGCTTACTGGAAGCTGTTCCTTAGACTCTTTCGGCAGGAGTGGTTTTCCATCTTTATCCTATTTAGAGGGAAAGACACAGCATGAGTCATTTCACACTTATCCCAAGATGAGACCCTGTAAATATTATGAAGATCCTACAGGTTATACCTGCTGTTGTACATTCCAAATAAGATTCATCATTTCAGGAAACAGATTCTCTCACCAGAGAATATGCTCTAATTAGTTCATGACAACAAACAGTGAGCTTACAAGCAGCACCAGGCATTCCTGAGGCACAGGGGCTACATACTGGATTAGGAAGAGCTTGTGACTTCAGAACCTGGGGACTAGTGCAGCTGGGGAACATGTGTCAGTACAGTGTGGCACGTGGTGGGGCTTATGGTGGGCTTTGCACGGGTTGCTTGGAAAATGCTGGTTAACTTTGTAAGCCACACATCCCACTGACAAGGATAAGAACCAAGCCCTGATCTACATACTGGAATGCAACAGAAAACAACAAGACAGAGTCTCTGCCCTCAGGGAGTTTACCTTGTGGGTGAGATGCTCTGAAACATATAGCACAGATTATATCGAGCTTAAAATGTCCCCAAAGTGCCACATTTGAGTAACAGAACCGTATCGATAAAGCACTTGGGGCTATTTAGTAAGAGGAGAGCCATAAAATTAATAGTAAAGTCCATTTATCCACATAAATGAAAATAAATAAGTACAAAGATATGTTCATGTATATGTAAATATATGAATATTTCTCAAGAAACTGGTTAGGGATGGTTTTTACTTGCTTGTTTTAATTTAAACGTGAAGTACAGTGGTTTAGAGGTTCAGGCTGAGTATCCCCAATCTGAAAATAGGAAATCCCAAAATGCTTCTAAACTTGAAACTTTTTGAGTGCTGACATCATGCTCAAAGGAAATGCTCAATGGAGAATTTCAAATCTGATGATTAGGGCTGCTCAGCAGGTATAATGCAAATATTCCAAAATGAAAACAAATTCAAAATCAAACATTTCTAGTCCTAAGCATTTCAGAAAAAAGATACTCAGAACCTGTATTACCTGCTTCCCACATGACCGCATAAACTCATATCCCAGCCCCTTCCATCTCCCCTGCATTCACTTGTCTCTTCTGGGCATTTTTTAATATGAGGGAAAGCTAAACTCTCCAACCTAAGCTTGTCCTCCACCTTCCCTTAGCTGCAGAGGCAGCAAATTCTCCAGGTGATACTTGGGTCCCTGAGGGCACCTTTGCTCCACACTCAAATGAAAATCAGCTTTCTATCACTTTGTCACCATGTGTGTGGAAGAGAAAGCTTGTGGTCTGCCCTTAGGAAGCTGAATCTCACTGAAGAGGCCTGACATGGGCACACAGTTGATGAACAACATCACAGAACTTAAACAAAGGATGAAGTTAGCACCTGGAAATGCTGTGAAGCAACAGATAACTAACACTGTGTGAGGCAAGTTCAGGGGAAGATGAAACTAACTCAGAATGATGGGGTTAGGGAAAGCTAATCACCTGCTGTCTTAAATACACCTACTAAAATTCAGCAAAGGGAGAGAGAAGAAGTCATCTACTATAGAGAGTGACTTGTACTTGTCCAGTATCTACTGAATGGACAGTCGGTAGACACAGAACAAATGGCCCTTAAGATACTCTCTAACAACTTTGCAAAGCAACACAAGCAAGCCCCAGTTCATAGCAATGCCACGGTCTCAAATGAGTTGCAAAATGCAGAGAGGAAGCCGAATAAAGGTATCCACAATAATAAATATTCAATCTAGGAAAGTGTACCATAGTTATGTTTGTCAAATAACTGGACTAGTATGTATGGATGGGTGAGGAGTATGGCTATGATTTTCTGGAATTGTGAAGGAAGTTTGAGAGCATATTCTTTTAAACAGAGGTATGGTATGAAGATGACTGACACCTGTTCAACTGTCCTGCTTGTATAAGTGATTGCACTTGAACCACAAAATTTGTAATGGGGCCTTCTCTTCCATCACTTATTTGATACAATCTTTACTTTCAAAATAAAGGAAATGGGCCACTTATCCTTTAATCAATGTTAAACAGGCTCTCTTCTTTTTCCAATGAATATTTAAGAGTTGCACATTTTCCCTCAGAAAATAACTGTTCCTCATTTTAGTTTATCTATCTACATGAGGTTTTTTATATTTCTGTATTGTAACAAAACACATGTTAGGAGTGAAACATTAGATAGTTCAGACATTAGGTTTCTTTTGCTTAAGGGAGAATTGAAAGGGCAGTTAGGAATATTCTAGCTTTATATCTGGTGTTCTAGCATGATTATTAGTGGACTAATACTATTTGGTATGGAAAATTTTAAGAAACAAGATCTTAAATTCCAGCTCTGTTCCCATGTCCTGTCTTTATATATATGAAGTTTCATATAAATTGAAAGAAAATATTCCAGCTCGGTTACCTTAACCTCTTCTAATCTATAATCCAGAGGAATTGTTTCTTCTTTTTCACCAAGTTTTTCACGGTCTTCTTCTTTGGCCTTTTCCTGAATAAAAATTATACCGTTTTCATTGTTAATGTGTCTTCCCCCCCTCATAAAACGGATGCCTAAGTGACTAACTTTGAGGTAAACAAATCTATCATTAGGTTAGGATGTTCATATAGCCATATGCTTAGAAGTCCTGCTGCAAATTAATCTAGCAGGCCGAGACAGCACCACAGAGCCTGCTGGACTAAAAGGTGGCTGTGAGGAGCAGCAGGAGGCTGCCATGTCTCCCCCTGGGTCTTACCTCTGTCCACCAGCACAATTGTTGTGCAGGTGGGCAGAGGTGAGACCCAGAGACTTCTGGCCTGTATACACTATCCATTCTTGTGGAGGTGAAACACTGGTGCTTAACTCAGGCTTACTAATTAAATAGAATATGCACAACAATGGAGAAAGCCAGCCGATCATGTCTGGTGGGAAAGTTTTTAAAAATCACTAATTTATTTACAGGCGGAGGTATCAACGATAGGTATTTTCTAGAAGCATCTGAGAGGCCAGTACCTTGACTTGATCCATCACAGGTTTTCCGTCTTCTGGATCTGCTTCCTTTTTTCCCAGGCTATCTGCCAAGGCTTCTACGGCATCATCTGGCACTGTGCCCTTCTAAAAGTGCATTGAGTGGACAGACTAAGTGCTTGGTTCATCACTCCTTTGAAAACATTCTATCAAACAATTATTTTGTAGATAAGACATGCATGTCATCTTTTAATCATTGGAGTTACCCATTAACTTTGAATCTATTTTTATTTTTTTATTTTTTTGAGTTGGAGTCTCACTCTGTGGCCCAGATTGGAGTGCGGTGGCCGAGCTCGACCTGCTGGGTTCCGGCGATCCTTCTGCCTCAGCCAACTACAGGCGTGCGCTACCATGCCCGGCTAATTTTTTATTTATTGTAGAGATGAGGTCTTGCCAAGTTGCCCAGGTGGTTATTGAACCCACAGGCTCAGCCAATCCACTCACCTCAGCCTCCCAAAGGTGCGGGATTATAGGCTGAGCCACCGAGCCCAGCTTAACTTTGAATCTATATGTAAAAAACTTAAATGTTAAAAAGTAGAGTGAGTTTCTTCTATCAAACAGTAAGTATGTGCAACTTATAAGTTGACCCTGAGAGACTTATAAGGTCTAGCCTAGAGTTCTGGTTTAGAAAGAACTCTATAGGCAATAGGTTGAGGTCTACCACAGAGGAGATGGATGTCAAGGAAGGAAGAAAAATGGGATCTTTCTGTATAGGTGGCACAAAAAGGATTTTCAGAAAGATCAAAGGAAGACTTTCTTCTCCATTTACTGTCAGACGGCCTGGCCTGTCTTGGAGGAGGAAGTTTAGGTTTAGTCTCCACTGAGGCATAGAAGTGTGCTTTTCCTGATGGAAGTGAATTTGGGGCTGGTTCAGGTGACTCTGCCTGTGGCCAGCTAAACAGAGTGGCAAATGAGGACTGTCTATCTGTAGTTCAGTTGTTCAAAATGAAATGTGCTCCTTCATGATGCAATAACCTCTTTAAATTGAAAATGAAACTGGATGAACCTAGCACATAAATGATATAAAAGGAAAATAAATCATGTCTGGACTAAGAGGTAGGACTAGTAATGGCATTCTCAAACGACAGGTCATGATCTGTACATCAGTGGCTCATAAAATAAGTTTCATCGCTTATGGCCAGGACTTTTTTTAAGTAAAAAGAATAGAATAGAAGACAGAATGCATCATACATAAAAGAGATAAGTACTATTCTTTAAACTGTTGTTTCCATTGTGTAGGTACTGGGTTACAATGGCAATGAATTTCCTACTGTTGCTCTTGGTCAAACAAAAGTGTGAAAGCCCTTGTATTAAACAGTTTCAGTTTCACCTTCTTATAAAAATCTCTGGCTAGGTGCTATGGCTCACGTCTGTAATCCCAGCACTTTAGAAGGCTGAGGCGGGAATATTGTTTGGGGACAAGAGCCAGCCTGGGTAATATAGTGAGACCCTATCTCTACAAAAAACAACTTAAAAAAATTAACCAGGCATGATGGCACATGCCTGTAGTTTTAGCTACTCAGGGGGCTGAGGTAGAAGGATGCCTTGAGCCCAGGAGTTTGAAGCTGCAGTGAGCTATGATAGCACCACTGTGTTCCAGTCTGGGCAACAGAATGAGATCCTAACTCTCAAAACAAAACAAAATATTGCCCTCACATTTACTATATATTGGAATTTTAGAGTAAAAATTAATTTCTGTTGTATTTATCTTGGTCATCACCTAAAGTAAGAAAAATTGTTATTCTGCTAAGCAGCAATGCAAAAGGAAAGATAACTAAGAAAGCAATTTATTGCCACCTGGTGGCTGACTACTGCATAGATTTTTATTCCCAGGAGCTACAAAAAAAACTCCTGATGTTTTTAACCTGTTTGGGATTAAACCTAAATTAAGTATTAAAACTGGTACCCAAGATTTATTCAAATAATCTGAGTTGCCACCGAATTCAAGATACCTGTTCACACTTTAATTCCATTTTTGCATACTCTCTGCTGTAGAATCTTTGGAAATCACTGCTTCCCAAGGCTGTATGTACCCTTTGAAAACCTCTGGCTTTAGAAATTACTGAAACAGAGTTAAAGAAGCCCTAGGAAAAGCAGTCATTTTAAGAACTAAGGAAAATAGGAACAGGATAAAGAACTAAAACAACTATTTCTGTAGTATTTAGAGTTAAATTCAGAACTAGGACTCAGGTCTCTGGGTTTCCCCAATAAACTTTCCTTTTGTACACAAGAGAACCATCCAGGGCACACATTTGTCTTCTTCCTCGGGTCTGTTTTCCTTTACTAATGTTCATGCCTTTCTGGAGTCCTCTGACCTTTATCACATGCACAGCTATGCCTTTCTGGCTTTCCATGGGTGTTACAATCCCTGTAATGCCAACTGCCTTGGTGACAGTAACCCTGGCAACCGTGGCCTAAGTTAGTAGGGTAAAGGCCTAGAGAAGGGGAAAACAAGAACTCTTTGAGGGCACCCACTAAAAATCCAATGCTCAACTCTGCAGTCAGGGTATAGAGTTGGAAAGGAACTAACTAAGCTCTTTAAAGGCCTGGAAGTCACCCTTGGCCAATGAGGTAGATAGCACTGGGTTTGCTCACAGGAGTTCTGCTCTGGAATATTGGCTATTGTCTTTTTTATTCTAATCATTTTTTATTCTAATCACTGGCTATTGTCTTTTTTATTCTAATCATTGTCTTTTTTATTCTAATCTCTTTTCCTGCTTTCTTCGCTGGACTCTTTCTAGATTTCCGCCTCCTCTCTTGTTCTTTACCACTGTGGCCTGGCACCCATAATGTAAAAGTTTCTGGAGAGTGCCCTAAAACCTCAACAAAAACGGGAGGGGGATTCTCAAGTTCTGCCAAAGGCAGGAAGAAGGCTGGGACTCAGGAAATTTTCAGGTGGCACTAACGACTTCCCCGGCAGGAGGCAGCCATTTCACAGCATCCTTGTGCTGTGACACTTGTGCTATGGCTTCTTCAAAGCCCCCTCTTCCCAAGTGCACCAAGTGCTTGGCATTTCTGTGCTGGCCTGTCCTTGGCTCACAGTCTTCCTGGAAAATGGTGCTTTTTCCAATTCTCAGTGAAATCCTGCCTCCACCTGCAAGCCTTTCCTAATTTTTCCTGGTAAGGGATCCTTTACTGATGTTCCCCCTGCCATTTTCCCACATGGGAATGATCAAATTGTACTTGTAAGTTTGAGATCTTGCCCATATATACTCTAGGCTTGAAGGTAGCTAAAAGCAGGGGCCATATCTTTCATCTCAGCCGAGGCTCTGGAATCTTAAACAGGTCACTCAAGGTCAGCTCAAAGCCTCATTTCCCTCAACTTTAACAGGAAGATGATCAGAACAGACGTCACACAGTGTCCTTGTGAAAATTTAATGACACAACATTGCAAATCTTCTAGAACAATGGCATTGCAAATGACAAAGTTAGCTATTCAGAGTGCAGATTTTACGAAGTCTGTAGTAATGAAATACATCTCCATCAGATGTTACTCTCTGAGCCAAATTCTATCATTAACTAAAGGAAATAAAACCCACTGAAATCAAAGGGAAACAAAGATTCGTTAGATAAATATCATACTTCATACAAAAACTAGAAAGTAAGAAGGAAGCAAGAAATAAATATGGAAAGGGAAAGGAACCGAACCAATCTCTCCTCCTTTAGTTGGCAGAGTTGGGGAGGAATCACTATGATTTGGGTACAAATTATTCTACCAGGAAAGTCAGTAAAAGTAGCATCAGGCTATCTGTTGAACTCCAAACGGGCTTATAAGATGCAGGAAAAAAAAATTCAAATTATCCACAATAGCTAAGGAACTAGAAATAATTTCAGAAGATGAAGGAAAAACATAGCTTGCAGCAATTTAATTGAAGTTTAAACCTAGTCTGAATTTCTACGACATCCCTGAAGTCCAAAGAAAAATAAGATACTCTTATTTCTGTCTTCTCAGAATAAAACAAAATGATGGTAATTCACAGCAGAGTGTAATGGGAAGAAGAACAGACATTTCTTAAGACTCTGCTCAATGCCCAGGGACACACTCACCACGGCATCCAGCTTGGGTGGTGCTGATTGTATGCTACACATGGCGCTCCGAGGCACAGCCTCTGCCACAGGAGTTGGGGCAGCAGCCTTGGATTCCTGAGGAAAGAAGTCAAAGATCTGGTTCACAAGACTAAACAATGGTGGAACAAGGAGACACTCTATTCATCACTGTGAGTAAGCTTCCCTTGAATGCCTAAGGATTGTTGAGTAGTAAACCAGTCAGGACATGTTAAAACTGCTTCGATACCATGCTTTCAGCTTGGTTTTACCTCTTACCTTAAGTAGGCTACTTAACCTCTCTAAGACTCAGTTTTCACATCTGTGAAAGGAGAACAAGGATGGTAGCTAATCTCAAGGGTTGACACGGGTCTTAAATGAGATAAAGTGAGGTGCTATAGCCTCTGGGAACACAGTAAGCACACAAAATTTGAGCAAGTATTGCTATTATTTATATTATGCATTTGTTATCATGTAATACGCAACAAAAATATGCCTACTATACAATATTACATAAAATGTATTTATGTAAATCTGTGAGTATATTGTAAATTACAAATAACTAAGTACAAATGCAAGCTAGTGATACTATACCACAGCCTCAGCACTACCAGGGAACTGAGAAAGCAGATTCTTGACCCCTCAGCCCAATACATTAAAACAGAAATTTTGGGGGTAGAGTCTAGCAATCTGTTTTAATAAACCTTCCAGGTGGTTCTGATGCATGCTAAAGTTTGAGAACCACTGGACTATCTTATTTTATCACAAGAGTAAAATTTCAAACAGATTATTTCAAATTCAGACATCTGCAGAATCTTATCCTATGTGCAAGATGCTCAGCAGGTAATCATTAATAGGGTATGATCTTGTCTTTCAAATAACTTACTACTTATTTAAAACTAGAATGCATGTTAGAGTTTAAGGACCAACACAGCTAAAAACTTCTTTGTAACAAAGGCTTTAACAAGCATATATAAAAAAAGAATGCAGACCTCAGGCAGTGTTGTATTCTGCTTAATAAAGGTTGGAGGGGAGACCAAAGCGGGAGGATCACTTGAGGCAATAAGTTTGAGACCAGCCTAGGCAACATAGCAAGAACTCCATTTTTATAAAAAAAGGAAAAAGTAGCCGGGCTTGGTGGCTCAGACTGTAATCCCGCACCTTTGGGAGGCTGAGGTGAGTGGATTGCCTGAGCCTGCAGATTTGAGACCCGCCTGGGCAGCGAGACCTCATCTCTACAATAAATCGAAAAATCAGCCGGGCGTGGTAGCGCATGCCTGTAATTCCAGCTACTTGGAAGGCTGAGGCGGAAGGATCGCCGGAACCCAGCAGGTTGAGGCTGCGGTGGCCGGGAGTGGCCACTGCACTCCAGTCTGGGTGACAGAGTGAGACTCCAACTCAAAAAAAAAAAAAAAAAAAGGAAAAAGTAGCTAGATGTGGTGGCCCATGCCTGTAGTCCTAGCTACTCAGGAGGCTGAGGCAGGAGGATCGCATGAGTCCAGGAATTCAAGGTTGCAGTGAGTTATAACTGTGCCACTGCAGTACAGCCTGGGCAAGAGAGCAAGACCTTATCACTAAAAATAAATGACTAGATGGATGGGAGGGTGTGGTTTAGGGAGGAAAAAGTAGAAGATAAAGAAGACCATATTTTGACAGAGCTTTACAAGAATAAGACTTTAGTGGATCTAGAATTAGCAGGAAGAATCATTCCAGAGAGAAGGAAGCAAATGAAAAATGCCACAGAGACACGCATATTTATCACTCAGTTTAGTGACTGAGGAACACAGCCTGATAAGAAAAGAAGCAGGACCAGGATATGTTAGTAGGAACTTTTCTTTTATAGGGATGGGAAGCTCCTAGGTGCTGAAACAGAGGAATGACGGGACTATAAGTGTGCTTGAGAAAGTGATTCTGGTGGACAAGAAGGATGGTGAGAAGGAGACCTTGGAAAAGCTGTTGCTAGCCTAAGGTGAGAGGTGAAGACAACTTTAACCAGGTCAGCTACAGAAGTAGAGACAAAAGGAGAGCATGGATGGACTCTAGAGCTTTCCTAAAGGAATAATTATAGGACTTCACCACAAGAATATCAGGGTTTGCTTGGGTGAAGAAAGCACATCAAAAAAAGCAAGACAAAAAATTCATGCAGGCCAGGCACAGTGGCTCGCACATGTAATCCCAGCACTTTGGGAGGTCAAGGTTGGAGGACTGCTTGAGCCCAGGAGTATGAGACTAGCCTGGGGAACAGAGTTAGATCTCATCTCTACAAAAAAATTAAAAAATTAGCCAGTGTGGTGGCATGCACCTGTAGTCCTAGCTACTCGGGAAGTTGAGGTGAAAGCATCACCAGAGCCCAGGAGGTCAAGGCTGCAGTGAACTGTAATTGAGTCACTGCACTCCAGTCTGGGGGACAGAGTGAGACCTAGACTCAAAAAAAAAAAAAGCTTTTTAAATAAACTGTTTCATGCAAAAGTTTTAGTCCCACATTTAAGATTAGTCAAACACATTTAGAAAACTCCCTTAAAACTGTAGATTTATATTTTTAGAAACATACTTCTGTTTTTTTAGGTGGCTTAGGCTTTTTTTCTTTGCGTTTAGATTGGTCAAAATCTTCTGACAGTTCATCGATGAGTTCTGATTCACTCAGGGGCTGCAATATAGGAAACATCATATATTACAAAGATGGCTAGTTTGACTATTAAAAAAATTTTTTTGTAGAGCAATTCTCTTCCTGATTAACACATATGAACTCTATCTTAGGATTTCAAGCTAATTTATATAGTTATTTTTAAGTTCAATGTAAAATAAAAATATCGTGCAACAAATAAGGAATACTAAACACCTCAGTGCCACAAAAGTGTTGACTTTATTTAGTCACAAGTTTTCCTGATACTAATTTCAGAAGAATTTTGTTCAACATTGCCTGTTCTCTCCAGTGAAGATCTGAATAATTTTTAAATATGATTATTATTTTATTTCCTAATGACTTCCCTTCTGAATAAGCCAGAGAAAACATAGATCATGTAACTCCTTCCCTATGACCATGTGGGTTTTTGGCATTCTACTATCCCATCTTCTCAGGGGAGGTGGTGGTATTCCATATTCTAGGACATGAGAGGTCAGTTTATTTTTTTCTTAGATTTGCCTGAATTCACGTTTCATAGTTACTTTTTAAAAAATGTCAGAAGAAGCTGAGCTGTAAAAATCAAGATGTTACCAAAATATAATGCACATTTACTTTAAAAGTTACTAAAAAAATGCTTTTCATCTGATGGATAGGGCAATAGAAAAAGAAAAAATAAAAAGCTCTTTTGGCAAGAAAGATACAGCAATGTTAATCAAAGTTTTTAAAGTCCCAATTCTCCGACCCATGTGAAAACTGCGACTAATAACAGTAATCTGTGATAGAAGGGCTGTCATTCAGAAGTGAGGCCTTGGCATGGACAGCCTGAGTTCCAAGTCCTGGCCCTGCTGTTCTCTAGCTGTGTGACCTTGAACTATTGACACAGGCCCTCTGTCTCAGTTTTCTCATTGAGTAATCACAGTGCATTCCTCACTCAGTAAGGACTCAAAAAGAAAATACTCAAAAAGCAATTGGTGCCATATCAGGCTTATAGTAAGTGATTAATAAATGCTGCTTGTTAGTATTATCATGACACATCTGTCATGATAGCTCCCAAATTATTCATTCTGCTTTAAGATAGCTGCTGCTGGCTTAAGTGAAAGCAATACAGAATCATTAGAGTATCTGATCACAATCAAACCCTAATGCTAGCTCAATCCAATTTAAGAATCCTCTTGGCATCAGCTAAAGTTCAATGACAGTTACCCAGAAACTTATAGTCTAGCAATGATGAGAAAACTAATCATCAAAATAGGTGAAAAGGAGTGATAGGGACCAGCCAAGTGTTACTACCAGAAATTCCCACTCCTCAGTACTAGGCTCACATGCAGGTCTGCACAGTTAACTCTAGTCTGTCAAAATGCTCATTTACACTCTACACTTATACTGTTCTTTTAGTATCAGAAAAAAACTTATTTCCTAACCTTGGGTTTTACTTCAGGCTCTGGCAATAATGGTTTTCCATCTTTATCCTGTAAATGAAATTGAAAATGCATTGAAAATGAAACAAGGAGTTTTGCTTTCATTTCTCATAAAGTTTGTCCTGGAAATTTCAGGATACAAAATTCAGCTTATTTTTTCTTAGACTTGCCTGACTTTGTGTTTCATATTTCCCTTTTATAAAGTATCAAAGTAAGGAGTTGAACAGTAAAAATCAAAACATGATGCACACTGGCTTTAAAAATTACTGGGAAACCCTAACCCTGAATTGTACCCTACATCTTTAAAATTAAGAAATTAAGCCGGGCTCAGTGGCTCAGCCTGTAATCCCGTGCTTTGGGAGGCTGAGGTGAGTGGATTGCCTGAGCCCACAGGTTCAAAACCCGCCTGGGCAACTTGGCAAGACCTCATCTCTACAATAAATCAAAAATCAGCCAGGCATGGTAGCGCGGGCCTGTAGTTCCAGCTAATTGGAAGGCTGAGGCGGAAGGATTGCCGGATCCCAGCAGGTCAAGGCTGCGGTGGCTGGGAGCAGCCACTGCACTCCAGTATGGGTGACGGAGTGAGACACTCCAACTCAAAAAAAAAAAAAAAATTAAGAATTAAAATAAAAAAATAAAAAGTACTGGGAAAAAAAATGTTTTCCATCCACCGAATGGGACAATAGAAAAAGAAAAAAAGCTCTCTGGCAAGAAAGATGCAGTGATGTTAATCAAAGATTTTTCAGTCTCAATTCTCCCAGGATGAAGAGATAGGTATCATTCTTATAACACTGTTTAGTTTTATAGACATAAAGTCTCACAATTTATAATATTTCTAAAAACAAGAAACTTTTTATATTAATGCCTATGTAAGAATTCCAACTATTTTCCATCATGCATTTATATGTATGATTTAAAAAATAAGTTACAAATGTAATTACAGGAGTTAATTCAGCATCTTCACACAAATCAAAACAATAACCAAACCATCTTAGCTGAGGGTACTGGTATACCAGTGCCCATTTATCTCTACACCACTTAGAAGTTTATGGTACTTTTATCTATATAGCAGTTAGAAAAGGAATTATTCCCAGGTTTTTCATTCTGCTTTGAAGTTTAAGGATCTATATATCAAGCATTACTAGTAGTTGAAACACTAGTATTTGGGGGATTTTAATCACCCATGGTTACCACTTTGGAAGCCAGGCAGAGACAGACCATCCCTCAAGGAGTTTAACTATAGCAAGCAGAAAAGAAAGGATTCAGTGTGTTCAGAGTACGTATCTGAACTGGGACAGATACAGGTATTGTCAAGGCTAGGGATACAACAAAACATGCTAAGAAGGCAGGATGGTACTTTCATGCACTATGGCCAATAATTTACCGTGGCTGGTTTTAATCTGTACTCAGATGGAACTGTCTCGTCATCCTCTCCACACTTTTCTAGTTTTTCTTCTTTAGCTTTTGCCTGAAGAAAGTGAAGAGATGGAGGGAAAAAAGCAGTTGGCTAATGCATGTAAAATGAGATGATATCACTTCCTCTGCATACGTCCCCAAGTGTTAGAGCAGACCAAATTCGGTAAAAGTGGCTGGAAGAGCTTTGTAGACTTCAATGCATGAGACCACGGTAGGGATCTGTGAGAAAGGTAGCATGAGGTGACAGAAAAACAGCCCCACCAGGGATCCCAGGGAGCGGCCCTGCCCCACTCCCAGGCACAGTGACCTTGGGAAGCCACTTAGCCTTTCTTTGGCCCAGTTTTCTCAGCTGTGAAATATGGCTACTGATCATCCTTATGTGGCTCACTGGCTTGTGAGGATCACCAGAGAAAAGTAAATAAAAGGTCCTTTGAAGAGAGTATGCACAGGGCAGCAGTGAGTTGCAATTATTTTAATAGCCTTCATCTCCTCACTCAATGAGGCCTAAGGAAGGGAGAGAAAACACAAGCGATTCTCATGATCAGCCCAGTTCAACCCAGTTCAGAAACAAGAGAAGCATCCCAATACAGATCTTTGTTAACTGACGAATAATTCATTTTATCTCTTCTAAAAGGATTCCCCTCAATAACACCAGGACTTCACCAGCTCACTGAACCAAGAACAACTAACTACATTACAAGTAAGTGTTGTTCTGTAGCAGATCGCTGACTTCCAGGATCCAGCACTTGCCATTTGAACTACTGGTGTGTGAGTTCCTTAATGTGCAATAATTTGTACCTCTATCAAGGCATGGATTTAATTTACAAGTCAAGTGGGAGGTTCACTTAGCAAAGTCCAACTCAACCCACTGTTCCCATCCACATCTCAGCCCAAGACTGGAGCTCTCCATGGATGAACTAATTAATTTTTTAAAATATGTATTGAGCACTCTTCATAAGCCAGGCATTGTTCTAGGCTTTGGGATTAGTTTTATTATTTTATAGAATGACTGTCATTAAAGGATAAAATCATGTTTGTTTGGTTTTTTTTTTTTTTAAACACCTCCAGTTATTCTACTGCAGCACATTGAAGAAATCCTATTAAGTGGCAGCACCCCTCAATTCAGGGACCTGTGAGGTCTTCAGTTAGAATAGCCTTCACAAATGTGAAGGGGCACCTGGATACAACCATCATCCCTCCCCACTGCACTCAGGCCTGTAGACAGTGAGAGTCACACACAGCAGGAAATTTGCTTTTCCTCTTTTATAGAGATCTTGTGCTTATTCTTGAAATGTTTGCAATGAGATTTGTATACAGTAGGCACTGGAGAAAAAAAAAAGTTGACTGGTCACAGTGGCTCACACATGTAGTCCCAACACTTTGGTAGGCCAAGGTGGGTAGGATCGCTTGGGTCTAGGAGCTCAAGATCAGCCTAGGCAACAGAGCAAGACCTCATCTCTACCAAAAAATACATTATTAAAAAAATAAAACAAAAATTTTAAAAAGCTGGGCTACTTGGGAGACTGAGGCAGGATTGCCTGAGGCCGGGAGGCTGAGAATGTGGTGAGCTGTGATTGTATCACTGCACTCTACTCTAACTTGGGGGACAGGGTGACACCACGACTCAAAAAAAAAAAAGTCTACTGAATTGAAATAGCATTGGACTAGGTAACCACACCTAAAATTGGGGGAGATTTATAATGAGGTATCACTATAGAACAAAAACCCTTGATTTTATGTTATGACAAACCATGAGAATGTCAAGTGGGCATGGGTCTTTTCTCTGGAGTATGGCATGGTTTTCCACAGAGACTTCTCTACTGTGGATGTGCTGGAGTAGCCATGGATACTCTCGCAGGAAGACAGTGACCTTCCTGAGCCCTATCTTCACAGACTATCTAGGATGTAACAAACTCACCATCAGGTACTAAGAATTCAGCTTAAGAATCTAGAGGACTGAGAGGGAAACTACCAGGGGAGGGAGGAGCACACCTCATCAACAAGGGTACCTTCATAATCAACATTTGTATACCTAACCCTGAATAATTGTACCCCACGTCCTAAAAAAAAAAAAAAAAAAAAAGAAGAAGAAGAAGAATCTAGAGGACTGAAAGACCTCGTCAGGAAATATACTTTGTACATGATTAAAAGGGAACACTTGTATGTCATAAGAAAAGAAGAACTCTTTTTGCTGGAATTTTAGTTTACAGCTGCTCTGAGGTTTTCTAGAGGAAATATAACACATTCATATGCATCTCCACATTAGTTACCCACACTGCTTAATACGTTATTCATTTTAGAGATGGGATCTGGCTGTCACCCAGACTGGAGTACAGGGGCCCAATCATAGCTCACTGCAGCCTTGACCTCCTGATCTCAAGCAATCCTCTCACCTCAATCTCCCAAGTAGTAAGGGCTACAGGCACACACCACTGCATCTGGCTCAGTTTTAAATTTTTTTGTAGAGATGGGGCGTTTTGCTCTGCTGTCCAGACTGGTTTCAAACTCCTGGCCTCAAGCAATCTTGCCATCTTGCCCTTCCAAAGTGCTAGGATTACAGGTGTGACCCACTGAACCCAGTCTTAATAAGTTATGTCACTTTTATTGTTTACTAGTTACCTGATTTTAATCATTCTAAGACTCTTTTGATTCTGGAGTTTATAACATGTATATACCTTCCCTCCCTACATTTATGTCTTATTTAAATTACCCTAATTATCTGTAAAAAGCCAACCAGGTCTCAGGTGATAGAACCACAACTCAACCTGATCTCTTGACTCCCCCCAGGGTTCTGCTAAGACCTCCCTTTCCTCAAGATGACATAGCTTCTATGTAGTGACTCTAAGTCATATATACTTTGTTGTAATTAAAGTTTCCTTCCTTCCCGATACGTTACTTGGTCCTGGAAGATTGGGACTGTTTCTCCCGATCCCTGTAGCTCAGCAGCACAAAACTTATCATGCCACACTGTGGCCGGTGAACTCTCCAAGAAAGTCGAAGATAGAAATTGGCCCATCTTGGACCAGACCAGTCCCAGACTCCAGGAGAGTTGCCGGGCATCAGGGAGATTCCATTTTCCTGATTGACTTGGAACAGGAAGTGACAGAAGCGGGGGCATTGTGACAGCGACACTTGTCAGCTACCTTCCCTTGAGCTGATGGGAGTGGGGCACCTAGGGACCCCGGTTGCCTTTCTGCCTCCTCAGAACAAGTGACCCTCTCCTTCCAGAGGACCAAGTTGAAAATTTCCACAAAAATTATAAAGTATTATTAAAGCTCTCCTACATCAGACACAAGTTTACTTTGGCTCAGAAGGCTTGTTAGGATCTTGGTGTGTGGTGGGATAAACACTCATCAGCATCATTCTCCAAATGTGCAGAGCTTCAGTTGCTTGATTTTATGCTCATTTGAGCCAAAATTTCTGGTCTCTTTCCCCACAGTTTTCAAAGAAGGCTCTTCTCACCCCTTATGGCCATCTTCCTTTTTCTTTATAAAAAGAAGCACACAGAACACTTCTGAAAATGTAAATTACAAATTTCCCCTATCCATGGGAGCAGGCAAACCTCACTATTTCCCACCAAGCCTCTGTTCTTGTTATCTTGTTTTGTCAGATGTCATTTAAACTTTGGCAAAGGAGATTAGCATTTATTTGGACTCTAAATGTTTCACAAGACAAACACTCAACTATTCCTCCAGGTTGCGAATGACCCCGCTGTAGTATCTAACTTTATCAGACCCTGAAAGTAACGTGAAATGAAAACAAGTTCTTTCTTAATCTCCAATAAAAGAAAAGCTGTGCAAGAATTCTAAACACATGGAACACATTCAGTTTTGTAACCTGCAGACTAACATGCTTCATAAATCAACTATTAAGGTCAGTACCTCATCAACTTCCTTAAGAGAGTTGAGGTCAACTTCGGGATCTGGCTTCCGGGTGCCCAGGGAAGCTGACAGAGCCTCAAGTGCTTGATCGCTCATTTTATCCTGTTAGAAATTAAAAACAAAAAAATTATGTGCATAAAAAAAGACAACATCTCCAGAACCTGAGCAATACATTTACTTTGTGAAATACACATTTTAAATCTGTAAGATAAGCTGTATATTGGGGAAAACTTCAGGAAGGCAATTTTATCTGAAACCTAGCAAAAGAGAAAAAGGAAAAAGGACTTACCAATGAGTGAAAATGGGGGCTAAGACACATTTCTATAGTAACATCATTCTCTGGGGGCACACTTCACCCCTTATTTAGCACATTAGAAGTATAACTATAATAATGTTATCTTACAATACTCCCAGCAAAATAAAAGCTGCAAGCAGTAAACCTTCACGACTCCATTTATTCTTTTTCTAAAAAACAGCTTCTGACAACCGGAATATTTAACAGCTAACCTTGAGAAGCACGGAAACTTGCAGTAGTCCTGCTGTGGCCTTCTCTGAAGGCACAACAGCTGATGGCTGTAGGAACTCCCGGTTTCAGGGGTGTGGTGCTCACCACTGTTCCCCAGTCAGCCAGATAAAAATAAACTGTCCCCTCCAGGAGGGGAGAGGCAGAAACAGCCCAGACAGACACTGCTCCTTAGTAGAATCTTGACTATTTGCAGATGAGACATGGTTTCTCATCCAGCCCACAATTGCAGGATCACTTGTCAAGATTTGTGAAAATTAAGTCAGAGTTGATTGTGGCTAAGAGAGCTGGACAGTAGGAGAAATCCTCAGGGCTCAAACTTGCTTAGGGAATCAAATGTGAAGATTTTATGTTTCAAGAATGCAGTTTCTCTGGTTTCTGCCCTTCTGGGAATTGTAATGGTCTTGGGTCATGACCAAAAAGACTAAAATCATTCATGGGTATACATAAAAGCAACCAGGCCTGCGCAGAGTTGATCAATATAACCCTCATTGGATTCACTATTCCACAGAGACCCAAGGACAAAAAAGATCATGGCTTCTCATCGTGGGTAGTGCACACTTGGGGTTATCCAGAATGAGCTAGATCAGGCTTAGGAAAGCAACTGCTGTCAGGTAGACTGTGGATACTTTCAAAGAAAGATTTATACCTTCTCCACCTTTCTTTTCTTCTCCTGGGGTGGAACAGTACTTCTGACTACCCCTGGTGACTGAGCTTTTAAAACCTCTCCTGTAGATTTCTGAAAAAGAAAACACAAAAGATCAGCTGTACAGATGAGAAAAATGCAATTGTAATACCAGAACTAAAAGTTGTTGCTGTTTTAAAGTTCAAAATAGTTTCTAGCAAGTTCTCCTTCAAAATTCTCCAAGCAATACCTCTTTTTCGGTGTTCTTTCCAGCAGCAGTTGGTGAACTACAAGTAAAATCAGATGACAAGGCGTCGATAGCATCATCCGGCCCCATGGGTTTCTAAGGAAACAGGCACAATGATGGGCGAGACATGAGAAGCACTCAAGTGAAAAAATGGATTATACACCCAGCAAATGAAGAATGCACTTCTGTAATTTCTTAGCTAACAAGCGAGATATGTGAATGAAATAAATCAAAATATATGTCTTGAAGAGAGTAGGTACTCACTAAGTATTATTTTCCTCTTACCCTCTTCTAAAAATATTAGATGCTGGAATATTCTCATTCAATCGTTATTAAACGTTTATTTTATCCTTATACTTTTTTGGTTCCATTCTCTCTCCCCTCAAAAAACCTACACATGCGTATAGGAGCACAGAGATAAAACCTACAACAATCTCCTTTCTCTGAACAGACAGAAACTCCATCTGTTTGGAGATTAGTTAAGTGAAAATCCTTAAATGTAGAACTGATAGCCCTGCTTCCCCAACCAAAGATATAAATAAAAAATGTAACTTAGAAGTTATTTGTGTATAAACTCACAGAAGAGTCTGGAGGAGGTCCTGTGATTCCTTCTTTTTTCTGAAACAAAAAATAGTTTGATAATGTTGAGAAGGCAAGATTAATGCTTATAGTCAGCAAAATGTATGGCTTGATGTATGCTATGGGTTGAATTATGCCCCTCCCCCACCATCACCAAATCATATACTGAAATCCTAACCCCTAGTACCTTAGAATAAGAGTTTATTTGGAGACAGGATCTTTAGAGAAGTAATCAATTAAGGGCCAAGTCATTAGGGTAGGCTCTAATCCAATATGACTAGTATCCTTATAAAAGGGGGAAATGTAGACCCAGAAATACCCATAGAAGGAAGATGAAGTAAAGAGACCCAAGACAAGCAGAGAGGCCTACCAGAGTCTTTCCTCACAGCCCTCAAAAGGAATTAACCCTGCTAGCACCTTGATTCTAGACTTCTAGCCCCCAGAATTGTGAAACAATTCTATTGTTTCAGCCACCCATTCTGTGGGGCTTCATTACAGCAGCCCTAGGAAGCTAATACAGGGAGCCACATAATAATGACAAATTCACACACACCACTACATTTTATAAATTTTAAACATTGTGAAGATAATAATACGAATTACAGTCTAAAAAGGAAACAGTTAAAAGTAAATAATTATTTAACTTACAGCCAAAAGTTCCCTATATTTTGGAGGAATTGTGACTTCTCTTTTCCCCAATTCCTCTATGTAGGTAGAACTCATGGGATCCTGGAACAAAATCACACACACAGAGATATTATGTAATTAATTAGCTGAAAATATTACATGCATATCCTGAAACCAGAGTATACTCTAGTATTAATTTATGGAATGACTGAAATGAAATGTAAATTATTAAGGAGCCAATTCTTTACATAATACTGACATTCTAAGTTTACAAAAATACTCATTTAGTTGGTTGATCTCATGAAATGCTAGAAAATATACAATATATGGGCAGCCCTCTTTTGGGTCTCCTCCTGCTTTAGAGCTTCTCTGTCTTAATAAACTCCTGCTTAAAAAAAAAAAGAAAATATATAAAACATTACACTAAAGTTGACTCCCACATTAAAAATATTTTATTTTCAAATGCTTTCATTACCTAATGTTTCCAATATGTACAAAAGTATAGTTAATAACAATGATTTCTGTATAACCCCAAATCCAACTCTATCAGATCTATAGATCTTTGTTCTTTCTAAGAAAACAAAAATCATAGTTAGAATGGAAGTCTCCTGTTTAGCCCTCTCCAGTCCAATTTCCTTTCCGTGTTACCCAGCAATACTCACCTATCCTAAACTTTAAGTTTATGGTAGTCATTCATTTAAAGTTGAGCATATTTTAAAATAATTTCTATACATGGAGGTATCCATTAACAATGTACGGAATTACTTTGTACATTTTCAAATGTTATGTAAATGGTATAGTATTCTATCTATCATTCAGCATTATTTTTATTCAAAATTTTGTTTTGGGGCTATAGCTGTGAGAGGAAATAGCTAGAGAAAGACTAGGCAGACAGACAGGGCAGGCCCTCCTATAACAATGTAGCAAACTTCCAGCAGGCCTCTCAGGCTGACACACTGGCAATGGTAAACAAGCTCCCAGTGAGCCTCTCAAGCTAGAGCTTAAGTGCTCACTGCTGGGAAAGATAAACGACCAATCAGCTGACCATTAGGCCCCTACCTGCCCCCCATTGGTCCTTAGAACTAACCGATCAGAACAGCTAGTGCCGACCAATCAGTTCATAGCTAGTGCTAGCCAATCAGCTCAGTCTTAGAGCTATATAAGCACCAGGTTACAGCTCCCAATCAGCAACTTCTCTCAGTCCCCACTGTGGGAGCTTTTCTATCCTCTCAATAAATCCTGCTTTCTCACTTTCCAACCATCTGTGACCTTCATTCCTCCTGGGCATGGAAACAAGAACCCCGACCTAAAGAGCTGCAGATCATCAGAGCCAAAGAGCCATGCATCCTGGGGCCTGGCTTGCCAGCTGACTGAGAGGGCAGAATTGGGAAGGCTGCTGGAAGAAGGCGAGACTCCCAAGCTGAGATACTCCAGGGGCTAGCTTATCAGCCCACCGAAATCAGCAACACTCTCAGGGCTTGGCTTGCCATCCCATTAGAGCCAACACTCCAGGGACTAGGCTTACCAGCCCCTCAAGCTGACCCTCTCTGGGGCTTGGATGGCCAACCCATTGATGCTGACACTCTCAAAGCACAGGCTGACCTGAAAAATCTGTATTACAACCATATTGAAACATGAATAATAACTATAAAGAACTGCATTATATTATCCTATACTCTGTTGGACAAAATTGTTTCCAAATGTTTCACCAGTTATTATAAGTCCTTGCACACATGGGCAAGGCTCCCTCCTGGGAATCTCTCTAAAGAGGACTTCCTGGTTGAAAGGATGCTCATTTTCAACACCCACAAGTCACAGGAGAGTTGTCAGACTTTTATACTTTTGTCCATCTTGTAAGTGCAAAGTGGCATCTCTCCATGTTTTAGTATCATTTTCCTAACTACTAGGGAAAGTTTCATTTTACTTATTTATTGGTCAAATTTTCTCCTAATTTTTTACTGGGCATTTTCTATTTTGTATTATTTATAAATTCTAGAAACAAAACCTGTTATATCTGTTGCAAATATTTTTATCTAGTTAGGCACATTTTAAATATCAAGAAACAATTTTCTTGCTTTTTTAAGGATTAGGAATAGAGATGAACTGAGGGTGGTAAATATCAAGAAATCAAAATAAATTGAAGTCACAGGACAGGAAATATCTGTATATCAAAGTAAGCCCAACTTCATTGGACTTAAATCTCGAGGACAGAAAATAAGTCTTTGTGACCCAACAGGGAGTATCTCCATACTAATCTTTAAACAATCAATAAATGTTTGCTAAAATACTAATGGTCCAGCTACAATAAGACAAATCATTTCCATCCCCAACACTCATTTTTAGTTGCTGTCTCAATACTGGTATCATTCCTATCTCTGTCCAAGAAGCAGAACATGAGGTTTTCTCTCACACTTCATAACCATAGACCTGTTTGCCCTCCCAACCACTGGGTATGAATTTTCACAGGTGTCAAGATCACATACAGAAACTTCTGGCCCAGTATATGGTGTATTATCTTCTTCAGTTTCTTCAGGTCCTCCTAAAGTGTCTATTAGGTCATCCAAAGCAGCATCTATACCTGACTAGAAAAGAAAGAGAGAAGATACTTAAATGCTATTTGTTATATGTATTTTACTTTTGGTCTTTTTACCTAAAAACAAAACAAACAAATAAACAAAAAACCCCATTCTGTGTAGAAAAACACCAAGAGTTCTTCAAACACTAACATAGTTAAAATCTGGTCTCTAACAGACCTTATTAACTCCCAGAGTACAGATGCTGGAGTGGAAAGATGAAAAACCACATTCAGGCAAGAATCGCAAATTTTTTTTTTTTTTTTTTTTGAGTTGGAGTCTCACTCTGTCGCCCAGACTGGAGTGCAGTGGCCGCTCCCGGCCACCGCAGCCTCGACCTGTTGGGCTCTGGCAGTCCTTCCGCCTCAGCCTTCCAAGTAGCCAGAATTACAGGCACGCACTACCACGCCCAGCTACTTTTTTGATTTATTGTAGAGATGAGGTCTCGCTGCCCAGGCGGGTCGTGAACCCGCAGGCTCAGGCAATCCACTCACCTCAGCCTCCCAAAGGCGCGGGATTACAGGCTGAGCCACCGAGCCCGGCTAAGAATCGCAATTTCAACAGGTCAAAAGAATGACCTAAGTGAGCAGATGGGTTTATTAAAACTGCCAGTCTAAGGTACTGACAGTTAAAAAGAAAAAAGGAAAAAAGAAAGAAAATACAAAGAATTAGGAACATGATGATCTAAGCAATAGGAGAAATACTTATCAGTAGTTTTTATTGATTTATTTATATTTACTTGTTTATTGCTTATCAATAGCTTTTCAGGATTTTATATAAAGAACCCCAACAAAATCTCTGTATAGCACCTCTTTCAAATAGAATCTATTTGAAATAGAATCTATTGCTGTGTTTTCATTCGTGTTCTTTTGTTCAGTTGTTTGTCCAAAGATGTTTACAAAACAGAAATTATGAGATGTTAAGCTTACAAGAACTGACATTTTGTCAATATGAGTTTAAATCAGTATAATAAATGAGAGTGTCTCCATCCTATTTCTGGGGCTAAGAGTGATTAATTATAAATTATAACCTTCATCTAAAGAGGAGAACAACAATTTAGGAAAAGACCTTTCGCTATCTGACTCAGGCTAAAAAGAATTGTTTAAAATACATTTTTAAATTTTTTTGTGCAATAACCATATTTCCATAACAATGCTAGGGCTTGCCTGATCATGGATATGTGTAATAGAATCTGGGACCTGTCAGTGATACCTCCAGCTAAAGGTGGTAAATTTGCAGGAGAGAAACTAGAATGCAAACTCCATGGGATGAAACTGGAGTTTTCAAAATGAAGGGTTATAACATAAAATGTTACAAACATATGTGTAAAAACCATACTTTCAACCCAGCCACATCTGCCTAAAACAATAATTCATTATAATGGTCCACTTAAATGACCCTCATATTTCTGCCCATAAGAAATCAGATTACAATAAACACAAAACATATGAGTAAATGTCTTCTATAGACATGCACGGCTGCCTTCATACCTTTCCAGATGGTTTATCTGGTTTGGATTCAACTGGTACAGCTGGAGTTAATGATTTCTTTTCTTTTTTCTGGTGGGAGAAATAAAAACTCCTCACATACCTTTATAAAACCCAATACCGTTACATATTTTAAAATGGATTCATTATAATGTTAATAGGATTGTTCATACACTGAACATCTGCTCTGCACCAGACACTTTGTTATATGTTTTATATCCTTTTTAATAGAACATCCTAAATAATATTAACCCATTTAGTGATGGGGAAAGCAAGGCTCAGTGAGATTAAGTAACTTTTCTCAGAAACAGAAGTAAGATTTGAATCCATGACTGTCTCTTTGCTATTCCTCTGTAGGATCGTCCATGGCCAGTCTTCGGAATACCCATACATTCTTTCCTTGGGCTGCCACTTATAGCTGTCCTCACACATCAACACCTTCACATTCCCCATACCCTGGCATCTCATCAACCATTCTTCCCCAATTTCTCCTAAAATGAGTTTCTCTCTCACCATTGCTTCATTGGCTCTATTGACGATTACCATTAACTTCCCAATCTGCAACTTCCATGCTTTTATCCAGATATAACCTCTGAAATTTGTTGGAAGCATCCCTCTCTTGACTCTCACCTCTCCCAGCTGCTACCACCCAGCACCATGCTGATTGTACTCTGGCATTCACATCCTTCATGTGTCTCCTCTGCCCCAACTGCATACATTTTGTGTGTTTCTGCTCTGTGCTTGTGGCCCCATCCAAAGTCATTCTCTAGGCTCAGGAGTCAAATGCTTTTAGAGATTGGCAGGAAGTAAATGGGCGAAGTTGTTGGGTTTAAGACAATAAAGGATCGTGTCTCATTTGAAGGTATAAAGTTCCAGAAGCAAAGCACAGGGAAGGCACAGCCCTGGAGTCCTGGATTTATACAGCACATGACCGCTAGAGACACATGGCCGCTAGAGACTTTGGCAAGTCACTTCTCCTTGGAGATAATGACAATATTTGCCCCAGGGTGCTGTGGGGATTGGATAAATTAGCCTATAAAAGGTACAAAAACCATTGTCTGGCACTTGTTAAACACTATGTCAGTACTTGTTATATAAGCACTAAATAAGTGATTGCTGTGATTGCTGTGCTGAAAATACAACCGGGGCAAACCAGGGTGTGAGCCTGAGTCTGGATAACTAAAACCACTCCCATGATTCAACCACCACCTTTTGTAGACATTCACTCCTATTCTCTCCCCACCTTTCCCCTCTGTTTTTCTCCTTCTCTCCCACTCCTTCATTCTTTTGTAATTCTAAAACAAAATTTTAACTGCCTTGCTACACACATTTTTCTTTGGACACTTTCAAAACTTAAATTTAGCCCATCTAAAATCAGACACATCACACTTTTTCCATCATATGATTCCTCTTCTGACTTCAACCAGTCAATGGCACCCAGGGACAGGACAGCAAGGGGCCCAGCTAACAATGTAAAGAGACACTTGCTCTCAGGTGCCAACCCTGCACTTGCAAGAACCTGAAAGTAAGCACATTGTATTTCATGCCCGAGGCCTCCCTTTCCTTACCTTAGGGTAACCAAGCTAGCTCAGTCAGACTCGGAAGCCCCAGGCTATCCTAGATTTGACTTTACTTTTGCCCACTTCAGCCAATCATCTCCTCAAACCTCTGCAGTGCCTCTGGCATAACTCCCCACTTTCTCATGTCATCACAGCTCTAATTTAGGCTTGGGTATGACTCACTAGGACTGACCAGCCTTTCCCCTTCCTATCTCTATTCTTCATTCCGCCCACTGAACTCAGTCCCTTACCCTTCCACAGCTTGGTTTCAACCACATCACTCCACCTGTTCTCTAACATTCTCAATGGCTCCCCACTGTCAGCTGAATCACTACAGGCAGAAACTCACCTTAGCCTTCTTCACAGTGGGGCTCAACCTGTCTTTCTGGTATTACAGCCCCACCACTACACTGCACCCACACTGGAATGCACTTTGTGCTCAAACACAACTTACTCTTTTCAATGCCTTGATGTGTTGCAAGCCTGTGACCCCAGCTCTCCTTCCATGCTTAACTTAAGTTGGACCTAGGCTCCCAAAGCTCTTATGGAGTCCCTGAATCAGACAGAATCCCTCACTCCTCACCAAATGGCTCCCCATGGAGGCCTTTCTTAATCTTCCTTGAGTTACAGTCCTAGGTATATTGTCTTCTCCCACCCCTAGCTGGATTGGCCCAGAGTTAGTGCACCCTGCAGAGCCAACCACAGTGTTTTCAACATGCCATGTACTAAAACTGCAAGGAAGATCTGATCAATGTTATGGGAGAAGAATCAGAGGCAAATAAAAGTGAAATGCTTTGTCCCAAGATCCAGTATTCCATACAAGTATTCCACACAAGAATTCCACACAAGCCTCTCCTAATTTTATTGTTTAGTTTTCACTGATACCACTGGGTAATTCAAGTCTAGCATAAATTTAAAATCTTGATTACATTTTAAAAAAATTATAAGATATCCAATCCTTGTCTTAAATCTATCAATTTTTCAACTATCTCATCTAAGTACTTCTCCCTGGCATGAGAGAGTAACATGTATCTTGGAGTGAAGTGCAAGTCTCAAGGTAGTATATAAGAGACCTGTTGCAAGAAAAAAATTTAAGTATTTTCATTTAAAATTTTTTGTAAGTTTTGCTGTTACTTCACAGGAGATGTGCAGTTTAGATAAAAATGCCCTTTTTTTTCAAATCTGAGGGGAAAAAAATGATGTTTCAGGGAGATCATAATTTTGTCCTATGACTTTCTTTACCAACTAGCTCAGAGGGGAATACCTTTCACATGTTGAGGAGCAGAAATATAAATATATACCACTTCAAAAGTGTTCATTTCCATCCTCTCATCGTTTCTTCAGTTACTAACTTGTGCCTTCAGACTTATTACATGCCCTCCACACTGACTGCTAACTCTGTATTGCTATGGGTAGAAGAGGCAAATAACTTCTCATCTTATATTCCCAAGCTAGTACCAGAAGCAGCTCTAAGAAGAGGGCCTAAGAAAGGCATGCCCATAATCAGCCAACACAGCATATAACATTTGCTCGTGAGAGGCCTTGAGATGTCCCCTCCCATAGCCGTTCATGCAGATGCCATGACTACGATCCCCTAGGATCATGATAGCTGGAGTCAACACTGAAAGCTTAGGGTGAGGCCTATTCACATGCTCATGGAAATTTTATTTGCTTTATTTCATACCTTTACATCTGAAATGCAGGGCCTGAATCCACTCACTTGGTGTTGACACCAGACCTCACATATGGCAGGGGTACAATAAGTATTTGCTGAATTTATGAATTTTAAAATCATTTTTGCTATCTTGTTCACTCTATAGCCCTTAAATGCATGATCTTTACCACAAAATTTTACATGTCAACACTTTACCAAATAATAGGTTACCTAAGTATATTTCTTATAAAGAAACAGGAGAAGCAGAGAAGCCCACGCTGACCTCTACTCATGTGTGCTCACCTTGTCACCTGGTTTTCCCGACGCTGCGACTGTACCAGCAATGACACTCTCTCCACCAGCAGAGGTCGCGTCTTGTGGTTTACTCTAAGGGTGAGGATGAAAGATTGACAGGATTAAGTATCTTTGAATGGCTATTATCAAGATCATGAGTTTCAAATGTCACTAACACCTGCCGGTTTGCCCTGATGGACACCATGGTAGAGGAACGTTTACTTGCTTCTACTGTGCATGGTACAGTCCTGGGCACCACACGAAGCTGGACTCAAGAGCCACAGAGTCCAGACAGGTAACACAGATAAGACACATCAGGCCAGGTAAGGACAGTGGTAAGCTGGAGCACATACAACAGGTGTAATGGCTCAGTCCATTACAATCATGGGATCCCACTGTTGTGGGATAGTCTAATTTTTCATGAGAAGTTAGAAGTTATGATTTATGTGAAATACCCTGACTCTAATTACTGACTACTATTTAAAAATAATTTTTGAGTCAAAGTCTCACTCTGCTGCTCGGGCTGAAATGCAGTGGCACAATCAGAGTCCACCACAGCCTCGATCTCCTGGATTCAGGTGATCCTTCTGCCTCAGCCTCCCAAGTAGCTGGGATTAAAAGTGCACACCACCTCGCCAGACTAATTTTCTTTTTCCTCGTAAAGACAAGTTTCACTATGTTGCCCGGGCTGGTCTCGAACTTCTGGACTCAAGCAATCCTACCTACTTGGCCTCCCAAAGTGCTGGAATTACAGGCATGAGCCATAATGCCTGGCCTAATTAAAAATAATTTAACAATACTGTGAGTCAAACAAAATACATATGTGGCAGCATTTGACTGGTGGGTCACAAATTCGTGACCTCTGCTATAAAATATATTGTGAAGTGGATCTCGTTATCTTCCACATGCACTCAGTGAAAAAGTTCTCATAGATGTTAATTCTTCTAAAAGCTGACTGCCATTAACTACATAATTTTGGAATCAATTTCTGAGTTTAGGCTTTATAAGTTTCTCTCTTCTATAGGACTCTAAAAATGCTTTAAGACTTCCATTTAAATAAGCAGAAAATGCAGGGCACCTGCGTTCCCCTAACCCAGGTACAAAGGGGACCAGTGGGTAGCTTCAATCCAAAGCTGGGAGTCTTCCTGTCTAGGAGACATCAGAGCCTGCTGCCTTGCAGTCATGGCTGGTCATCACGGGGCAGTGAGAGAAGGCTGGACAACACATCCCCTGGACCCATCTGATGCCCTTCTCAGGCCCTCCAGAAACCCAAATGTCTACAAAGGTATTTGAAAAACCAATAAAATAACTCACCACATCATTAAAATATAAAATATACTCAGCACAGCCCCACAGATTCAACTCCACACCTCAGTGCAAATAGGGGACCTGCATCTTATTACCTAGCTGATGTTAATGTTTGTGTATCAACCTGCTTTATTTACCTTTGGTTCTGTGGATTTCTCTGGTGATGGCTGTTCACTTGATCTGGAAACTGCTTTTTCATTATGAGCATGCTTGCTTCCTGTCTCTGATGCATGCTTGGGTAGGTTCTTTGGCTGAAAGTACACACATATGTGCAAACGCACACACAAAGATGTAGCTAACAAGATGGTAGTTTTAAACCTAATACCGATACTTTTCTCTATAGAGTAAACATTGTTCATAACAGTTGGACTGTTTGTGGTTTTAATATGTGAATTTGAATTAGTGTGATGTACATATGCCAAATTTCACTTTAGGTCCAAAATTTGAAATAGTGCAAATTCTTCTCCCAAAATTCAGCAAGAAGCACATGAATAAATTGTAAACACTGCTATTGCCACATGATGGCACCATTTTAGCTGAAAAAACAAAACAAAACAAATATCTAGTCATCCACTTCAGAGATTAGCCTTGAATGCTGAGATTTTAATTATACCTCACTAAAAAGATGTAACCTGATAATACCAAGTTTTAAGAATAATCATTTACCTCTGTGTGTTCTTTTGGCTTTCCTTCTTGGGATTTCTTCTCATGAGCCACAGATGGCTGCCAATTTCAAAAGATGAAGAACTCAATGACACTGAAATCCACTGCTTTCATATTTCCAAACAATATCAAGAACAAAATTCCAGTTAAGACATTCTGCCTTTCTCAGGAAAAGCCCACTTAGGCCCATTCTCTAAGGTCAGAGAAGCAGACATGTTCTCTCTGGTCAAAAGTAACCCTACCAACAAGTGCTCATAATGGTGACTAGTAGAAGAATAGTGAAAAATTTAGTATTTCATCTGAATATTTAAAAATACATATGTATCTTTAAGTTATTGGCTTTTTAAAAAAATTCATACAGATACATTGGTAACTAGATTTATCTATAGAGACATCTCAAGATCAATGTGGCTACTGAGTTTGTTGGCAGGGGATCTTACTCTAGAAGGTGTTTGTTTGAGATCTCCTTTCTTTTTTAAAATTTAATTAATTTTTTTAGGAACAGGGTCTTTCTCTGTCACCAGGCTGGCATATAGTGGCATGATCACAGTTCACTGCAGCCTCAAACTCCTAGATTCATGTGACCCTCTTGCCTTAGCCTTCTGAGTAGCTGGGACTACAGGTGTGCACTACCATGTCTGGCTAATATGTTTAAAAAATTTTTTGTAGAGATGAGGTCTCACTATGTAGCTCCTGCTGGTCTCGAATTCCCAGCTTCAAGCGATCCTCCCACCTAGACCTCTCAAAGGGGTGGGATTATAGGCATCAGCCACCATGCCTAGCCATTAAAATCTGTCTTCATGGAATTTTCATAGTTTAAGTAGAGATCATATCACTAGAAACCCAATTCTCTTGAGATTTGGTAGATAATCAGAAGCAATTAAATGTGCACATTGAGTGGAATAGAAGACAACTTCCACTTTCAGTTGCTACATTCTTCACTCTAGAGTACACTGAACTACCACCCCCAGGGGCCACCAGGAGGCCTTACACAATTAATAAGCCCCACCTACACCCTCACCTGCACTTAAAGTACTTGTGCCCCAGGCTTTCTTTCCAAAGGAAGGCTTGAGGACTTATCTGCTTAAACGCTTATTAAGGGTAAACATCTGTGCTGCTGTAGACCCCAGGGTCCGCTCCATTCAAGGCAGAATGGCATTCATTCTGGACAACCAAGAGTCAGGAAAGCAAGAAAAGTCAGTTTCCTGGGTAACTGATAACTTGCTCCACCAACTGAGATAAGACTGTCAGGATAACCCAGCTGGCCTCTTAGGAAAGACTCTCATCTCTAAGTTATCTGGTGCTAAACTCAGCAGACATATATTCTTGCTGTCTCACTAGACTTGGAATCGGATACTCACTATCCACTGTCCTTTCTCCTTTGCTCCACTTGCTTTGTTTTTAAAACAATTACTTTATCTATAACAAAAATCTAGATTTGAACAAATGCCTTCTGAAATGTATTTTCACCTATAAAACATTATATATTCTTTTTAATATATGATTTAATGTTAAAAATATTTTATATATACTCTTCACCTACACAATCATATTCAAAAGTGTAGTCAAAAATTAATTAAATTAGCTGACAAACCCCCTTTACTGTTCAGTAGCACCAATATAGAAAATTGGTTATTCATTACTATTTTTTAAAAAACTCTAAATAACTCACTAGCAAACTTCAGTCATTTACCTTAGCTGATTGTGACTTCTTCTCAGGTTCTGTTTTTACAGGCTAAGTTCAGAAAAAAGAAAAAAATGAACATAGTTTAGGAAGATTATCATAAATTTCCTTCAACTAAGGAAGCTCAAAAGAGATTATTTTGATGTAAATATAAACTTTATGACTTACATTTATTACACTTTGCTCAGAATTGCAACTCTCTAGATAAGCACTTAATCACACTAGTTAATATTCTGCTCTTACTATTCAGATGGCAATCTACATCTTACTTCTAGCTATGTGCAATGAAGATACATAAAGATTTATTACTGTTTACATTGCAGCTAATACAGAAGCAACATAAAGTACAAACCCTCCTTTAAAGCCAAAGGTACTATGTTTCAAAGTCATTAACATGATCTTTACATCAGTGAAATACCACAGGCTGACAGTGTGAAACAATGGAATGGTGACAGAATCAAGAGCACAGGAAGCAGTGAAATATATTTTTAGTGCCAGAAGGTGGCTGATGGGCAGCTAAGCCTACAGAAAGTCCACGATGGGATCAGAGCATAACTAAAGACTGTGAAATGCAGTTATTAGCATGTGCTGGGAGGCTGATGTGACCATTAGTAACAGAGATGCCCTAGTAGATGAACCACATCACCTGTTTCTTGTGCCTTTTCTTGTTAGGAGGATGTGGTCCTTCCATCTGTTTGCTGACTGGAATGGCCTAATGCAAGAGCACAGCTCCAAGTATAATTTTATTTTATCTGACATTCAAATGAGTAACACGTATATACAAGGTTAAAATGATTACCCCATGATCCATTTTATTTATCTACGGCATCTACTCAACACATATGTATATAACTCCAAGAAGACACAGGCACCTACACTCTAAGGCAGGGGTCCTCAAACTTTTAAAACAGGGGGCCAGTTCACTGTCCCTCAGACCG